ATTCGAACCCGCCACCTTAGGTGTACGTGGCTGGCGCCTTAGCCGGTTGAGCTATAGGCACCGAGCCAGGCAGTTCTATTCTTACCTCTGGGATTATGACTAGACCAAATATTAAGCCAAAAAGGACCAAGTTAACACCATACATCCATCGGAGAAAGATGAAATACGATGCTACTGAGGAACCGAAGTGACCTGGAGAAAGAAAAGATGGTGGGTTGAAGTGTTGCAGAAGAAGGAAATTGACACTGTTGAGTACTTTACAGTGTGTGATGGATTCGATTTTCATGTCTGTCTGTGGAACAATATCCTGATCGCCATTTCCCTTTCTAGGTAAACAATCTGAGGCTTTGTGGAGTTAACCTACTTGCCTGAGCTTAAGCTCCTATAATCAGAAGGTAAAATAGCAGAAATAAAACCTTGATCTGACTGGTTTAAGGCCCGTCCTTACTCTTCTATATAACAGAACTGATGAAATAATATAATCAGAAGTTCAAGGAAACAATCCAAGCTCTTGTAAAAACCCTTTAGGAAATCAGCTAAAAGAAGAGTGACTCCAAAATACTCACTTTCAATGTCCTTGATCTTCATTTCCCAGGGAATGCATTGAGTCTTGAAATTATCAAAGTCTCTCTTAAACTTGACCCATTTCTGGAATAAAATAGGTAAAACCCACAATTCATTAACGTTGACCTGAACCATGAAGAGGCACAAAGGAGGGGAACATGGATACCAATGTGTCAACATGGGTGAGTTTGCCATCTTGGCTCCCCATCTCCTATAGTCCTTGAGCCCAGGCTGACAGAGGTGGATGTTCAAGCCTTCACTTTCCCACGGCCAAATGTGGAGTGAGAGAGAAGCAAGGGCCACACCTTGAATTTGACTATGGTGCTGATAAAATTTCAAGTTTGGGCTGGGCATGGTGGCTCACTAGCACTCTGGGAGGCCGAGGTGGGAGGATCCTTTGATCTCAGAAGTTTGAGACCAGCCTGAGCAAGAGAGAGACTGCTTCTCCCTGTGTCTACTAAAAATTGCCAGATGTTGTGATGGGCACCTGTAGTCCCAGCTACTTGGGAGGCTGAGGCAGGAGGACTGCTTAATCCCAGGAGTTTGAAGTTCTTGTGAGCTAGGCTAAGACAATGGTCCTCTGGCCTAGGTGGTAGAGCAAGACTCTATATCAAAAAAATAAAAAAAAATTCAAGTTTGGACAGTTTATATAAAAATTTAGAAATTCTGTGTATAATTTCTGGTTAGGAGATCAAATTGGGTTAGCAATCTCTGATACAACTTTCTTCACCTTAAAACAAAAATTCAAGAGAAGAAAGAAATCTCATAACTCTCAGATAGCCATGTTCCTGTATCAGGTAGAACCGTCACTATCCTATAAGGCTGGTAGAACATAAAGAGATCTCAACCCATGGCTGCACATTTTTCTCCTAGGGAAACAACAGTCTTGCTTTTCTGAAAGGAGTTAGGAAGGCGTGGTCTGTTCCCAGCTCCAACACCCAGGGTTTGTGCCAGCTGGAGACCTGAGTAGCTATCTGTCTGGTGGCTGGGTGTTGTATTGTCAGCTCTCCAAGGGACTTCTCTCCAGCAGCCCTATTCCCTGGAAACAAATTCTATTTGGAATAAAAAGAAAAACCTTATAGAAGATAGCAGGCCAAGAGGTAGTAGGGAACAGATTCTGAGATCAGTTTCTATTATTAAAAGGTTTTCTAAAATTTTTTCATGTAGGAAATGAGATTTTTTTCCCATAAAGTCACTATAGGATGAAAGGGGAAATTTATGTGAAGGAATCAGACAGACTTCCAGACCTGGTTTTCCAAATATGGTTTTAACCATATTCTGATTGAATGATTACCATATAAAGGAGGAAACCAGTTTTCAGAAGAGAGAGATGGTCACAAATGCTTAAGAGAAGAGTGGCCCATAAGCAAAAGATTGGTCACTTGGTAATAATGGCAGTGATATGGAGGACGTGGGAACGGTAGATGATGGACAACGGGCACTCCAGCCTCACTGCTTCGTCTGCTCTCCCTTGTTTAGGTTCTGTGCTCAGAAGTAATCTTTGGCTTATTCCTGTGCAGGAAGAGAGCGTTTGCCAATCACCTGGCAATGGTTTCTATGGCAGTTACTTGTATTGTAAATTAATAGATAGGAATTGGGATAGTGATTTAGCCTCACATAGAGCTAAACTATCAAAACTGAAAGTCAGTTCTGATGAGAACTTCAAATGTTTCACTCCTTAGGCTGAACATGGTGGCTCATGTCTCTAATCCTAGCACTCTGGAAGGCAGAGGCGGGAGAATTGCTTGAGATCAGGAGTTTAAGACCAGCCTAAGCAAGAGTCAGACCCTAGCTCTACTAAAATAGAAAAAATATAGGGGTATTATGGTAGGCACCTGTAGTCCCAGCTACTTGGGAGGCTGAGGGAAGAGGGTCACTTGAGCTCAAGAGTTTGAAGTTGCTGTGAGCTATGATTACACCATGGTGCTCAACCCAGGGGGACAGAGTAAGACTCTGTCTCAATGGCTCGGCGCCTGTGGCTCAAGTGGCTAAGGCGCCAGCCACATACAACTAAGG